ATAAAATTAATATTTTAAGAGATATATGATACCAGTCATCATAATTTAATATTTTAGCATAATGTGCCAAAGTGGACCTGATTTTTATGGAATTCATTTTTTCAACAAAGTTTTAAATAATGTAAAAATATGGCTTTTAATGAATACAAGCTGTTTTTAAAATCCCTTTTTAAACTTTACTTTTTAATTTTGTCCTTATTTTATTATATTCTTTGTTTAATTTGTATTTACATTTCTTGTACAATTTTATTTTTCTGACTTTTAAATATTATTTATGCTATTTTATCTATTTTCCAAAAATTCTATATAAAAAAATAATTTTATACCTTATAAATTTAATTTGGTCGAATTTTACTTTAGATAGTTGGTATCACAGTAATTGGTTTGACAGTTAATGTCAAAATCGATTCGCCATGCCGTCCTTAATTTACTTATTTACAACAAGCGGCTGTTAATGTTTAAGAATAAAAAAAGGATTTTCTTTAGTGTTAAACAAAATTTATTGCCAGAAAAGTCTCGTAAGTACTAGAAAAATAAAAAAAAATCAAACCAATATGCAAAATATTATTACAGCACCGAAAGCGGTGTTATAATGAAGTCCTTTCGAACATAAAATACATTTATATTAACGATTTTTCCACTCATTTTATTTGTTAGGGACAAAAAAATAAAAATTTGTAAATTATTTAAAGATTAAATTAACTTCCTAGTTTCCTACAAAAAAGGAAACGAAAAAAGACGTTGTTACAGTTATTAAAATTATTGTTAATTATCTTATAAGATCTCATAATTGGACTGAATTATTTTTTACATGGGATTATTGTAGAGGTTTTGAAAAAAACAAAATAAAAATTAACATATTATGTAGATATAATAATAATAATAATAATAAGTTGGCAGCATTTGCTTTAAATTTAAAAACAAACGATATAATTTATGAAAATAAAAGTTTAATGACAAAACAGTTAAAATAAATTTTAAATTAAAAAAAAAATAACAGTAACAGTGCATTTCTTTGAGATTTCCTGCGTATTTTGAAAACTAAACCTAAATAAAAAAACTTAAAAAATGAGGTTCTGGTTACCCTGGTAGAAAATAACGTTTGCATACATTCAGACAACGTTGCAAATTTGTATAATAATTTGTTATACTCATAACGTTGTCTTAGTGTATCATTTTAAGTGTAAAATACGTAGTTAAAACGTTGTCTTGGAAACGTTATTTTAATGTATGATTTTAAGTGGGAAATACGTAGTTAAAACGTTGTCTTGGAAACGTTGCAGAATTGTATTGCTGGAAACGTTGCAGCAACGTTCCAAATCCCACGTTTAGATACATAAAATTATTTCTAAGTCCCGACGAAAATTTTTCAATGAGGATTTTTTTTTTTAATTTTTATACTTTATTATACATTATTTATAAAAGTAAAATAAAACTCTTCAATTCATTTTCAAAGTCATAATATCAAAAATATGAGCGAAATACACAAAACCCACTTTCAAACAACGTTGCAGAATTGTATTGCTGGAAACGTTGCAACAACGTTCCAAAACCCACGTTTGGCTACATAAAATTTTTTCAAAGTCCCGACGAAAATTTTTTTACTGAGGATTTTTTTTCAATTTTTTTTTATTATACATTACTTATAAAAGTAAAATAAAACCCTTCAACACATTTTCAAAGTCATAATATCAAAAATATGAGCGAAATACACAAAACCCACTTTCAAACAACGTTGCAGAATTGTATTGCTGGAAACGTTGCAACAACGTTCCAAAACCCACGTTTGGCTACATAAAATTTTTTCAAAGTCCCGACGAAAATTTTTTTACTGAGGATTTTTTTTCAATTTTTTTTTATTATACATTACTTATAAAAGTAAAATAAAACCCTTCAACACATTTTCAAAGTCATAATATCAAAAATATGAGCGAAATACACAAAACCCACTTTCAAACAACGTTGCAGAATTGTATTGCTGGAAACGTTGCAACAACGTTCCAAAACCCACGTTTGGCTACATAAAATTTTTTCAAAGTCCCGACGAAAATTTTTTTACTGAGGATTTTTTTTTCAATTTTTTTTTTATTATACATTACTTATAAAAGTAAAATAAAACCCTTCAACACATTTTTAAAGTCATATTATCAAAAATATGACCGAAATACACAAAACCCACTTTGAAACAACGTTGCAGAATTGTATTGCTGGAAACGTTGCAACAACGTTCCAAAACCCACGTTTGGCTACATAAAATTTTTTCAAAGTCCCGACGAAAATTTTTTTACTGAGGATTTTTTTTCAATTTTTTTTTATTATACATTACTTATAAAAGTAAAATAAAACCCTTCAACACATTTTCAAAGTCATAATATCAAAAATATGAGCGAAATACACAAAACCCACTTTCAAACAACGTTGCAGAATTGTATTGCTGGAAACGTTGCAACAACGTTCCAAAACCCACGTTTGGCTACATAAAATTTTTTCAAAGTCCCGACGAAAATTTTTTTACTGAGGATTTTTTTTTCAATTTTTTTTTATTATACATTACTTATAAAAGTAATGGAACAACAGAGGTTACACCATAGTATTATCACAAAATTCTGTGGTATTATTTCTATGGGTTACACGGAACAAACGAAGAAAAATTCAAATTTACCGCTCTATCACGAAGTGTTTATTTCTTTATTTTAGGTTAAGTGTTGACATCGTGCGAAATTTTGTGCAAATTCTTCCGTGTTTTTTGGAAAAATAATTAAAAGATAAGGTAATTTTTATCTGATAGGGATGGCAAATAACTTTTAGTAACCTAAACAATCACCACAAACAATTTGTTAGTGTTTTTTTTAAACAGTTGCTTTTTGCATGGATTTTTAGGGTTATTTGGACGATGCCTTATGTAAAATAAGTTTTGTTCTGTGACGATGCCTTAAAAGCATAAACATGTTCCTGGAACAGTGTATCAAAGAAATTATCACCCAGAAAATATTGAATTGGCCGCGGCAGAGGTGATAAACAATCGTCTATCCTTTGGGTAGATTGCAAGTGTAATGATTACATCTGCCACAGATGATCTGCGGATAATGGATAATCTTTTGCAAGACAAGATACAAAAGAGTGCAGTCATATCTAAACCACAAAGCAGTGATAATTAGTTGTTTTAAAGAAAACCTTCCTGGCAATGACTGGCTAAATTCTTTCCGGAGGCAAAAATTGTGATTACTCAAAGGAATGCTAAAAATCTAAAAAGATCCAGATCAGAAGTTTATGATGATGTGATAAACCAATATTTTTTCAGAAGTAAAGGAAATAAGGGATGCTTTGCCAGCACCTGGTTACCCAGGGAAACAACAAAATGTTGTGAAAAAAGGAAACTCAGAATATTAAACTATTTTTCAACTTTTCTAATGGTTGCTGACACTGGAGGAGATCATTTACCATTGTGTGTTGGTTACCAGCCAAATCTATTAGATTTTTTTTAACAATCAAAGGTTCTTAATAATTTTTATATTAATAAATTATATCCATATGTAAATCAATTTTAGGTCACAATCTTTTGCATTTAATAAATAAATTTGTATACTATACAAAATCAATTTTAAAACTTTCAAGTGTATAAAAAAATATAGGCAAAAATACTATTTTTGCTTGTATTTTTTCCTTTTAATGCTTGTGCTCTAAATTTTTATTCAAAAGCAAAAATCCTCACATTTTTTCTTATATATTCGTAATTGCTAAAATTTATTTTGCCAAGCATCAAAACCCTTAATGAAAATTAAAAATTTGTGACTTTAAACTCGCCTTCATTGTTAATTGTTTTATTTAGACTTATATTTTAACTAGGTAACTACTTAAATTTCTTTGACTTTTTATTTTTGTTGCTAATTTATAATTTGTTTAATCCTTTATTTAGAAAATTTGTAATAATTGTTAATAGGCAATATTTCTTCTCTTTAAAATACCAGCATTGTTATTTTTTTTAGGCCATGTTTTAAGTTATGTTACTTATATTTGAATTTTTCTAGTTAATATTTAAATAGGATTTTTTAGATTTTTATTAATATTGATTTAAAAGTTGTAGTATCTTGTATCTAGAAAATTGTTAATACCTATATGAATATAGGCAATAGTTTTTCTTTTCAAAATACCATTGAAAATTTTTTGTCTAAACTATTTTGTTATATTTTTATTTGTTTACTTTAAGTATATAATATTATATTAATAATATTTTTTAGATTTTGTTAATTGGGTATTTTTAATTAATTTTAATATTGATTTAAAAGTTGTAGTATCTTGTATAGAAAATTGTTATATATATAGGCAATATTTTTTCTTTTTAAAATACCATTGTAAATTTTTTGTTAAAGCTATTTTGTTATAATTTAATTTGTTTACTTTAAGTATAATATTATTAGATAATATTTTTTAGATTTTGTTAATTAGGAATTTTTTTTCCAAAGTATTTTTTTTGTACAATAAATTTTTGTTGTTTTTAAATATATATTAAATTTTCCAATAATAAAGAAAAATCCTACCCAAATTTATAAAAAAATCCAACGTTTTATGATACAATAATCCCACGTATTTCCAACGTTTTATAATACACAAAACCCACATATTTCCCACGTTGTATAATACACAAATCCCACGTATTTGCAACGTTTTATAATACATAAAAGCAACGTTGTATAATACACAAAACCCACGTATTTGCAACGTTTCATAATACGTAAATCCCACGTTTTTTATAACATTAAAAACTAACGTTGTCAGATAACGTTATAAACCGGGACATTTCAACATAAAATTATACATAAAAGTTAGGTTTTGCCAACGTGGGAAAAACGTTGTTTCTACGTAAAATTTCTACTAGGGTAAACGATCAAATTCTTGTTAACACATCAAATAAATATTCAAACTAAAGATTTTTTTAATTTTTCAATGTTTTTTGCGTTTTTGTCGAGAAATATCAACAAAAACCGAATATTTTTTAAAACCCCCCTCACTTTTTTAACTTGTGCGAAGTAAATTGTAGATTCAGATTCTCTCCTTATATAAAAAAAACTTAGACAAGCGTTCCTTTGAGGTTAGGATCCAAAATTCCGAACACAGCCCCTATCAAGTGCAACGATCCAGTCACCAGCATATTAAACTCGCCGTCTTGATTTTCCAGATACTCGATCGCGTCATAAACGGAGGGAAAAACTTTCGTCTCTTCGGTGTTCGATTCTTCTTCGTTCAATTCCAACCACTGCGTCATGAACTCCTTGCACTTAATCAATTGTTTATCTGTGGTATGAAGGATTGATATATTGTCTGAAAATTATCGCATGCAAATCCCAATAGTTAATAAAATGATTATTATGAGAATTTTGGGTTAGATTTTTGTTAAGGATATAATCTTACACAAAGAAAAGTAAACATTTACAATTTTTAATTTTTTTCTAAAAGTACAAAAATTAATAATCAGGAAAATTTAAAACAGCCATAAAGATATTAAGTAGGTAACAATGCAAACACTTCACCCAAAGGCTTTGGGCTTTATTTTTACTTATTAATACTTAAGGAAAAATTCTGAAAATTGTTGGGTATGATAAGTTTTACCCAAACTTTACATAGAAACAATTGACCATTGAAAAAAAAATATTTAAGTAGTTTATAACTTTTTTCAAACAAATGCAATTTTAACCCAATAAATATCGCCGAAACATTTAATTGTAAAAATAGAAAATAAAAATGATATTTCTTCAAATCTATAGGGTGGATTATTATTTCATTTGTTATTACTTATTTTAACAATGAAATATTTCGTCGATATTTATTTAGAAAATAAATTACATTACCTAATAATTAATACTTATGGAAAAATTCTGAAAATTGTTGGGTATGATAAGTTTTACCCAAACTTTACATAGAAACAATTGACCATTGAAAAGAATTTATTTTAGTTTGTTTATAACTTTTTTCCAAACAAATGCAATTTTGACCCATTGCAATAAAAAGTGGTAGGTAGATGTAATTAATTTTTTAAATTAATATCGCCAAAATATTTCATTCTAAAAATAGGAAATAAATGAAATTTTTTCAAAACTTTTGGGTGGATTTTTGTTGCATTGGTATGGCTTTGTACATTTTTTTAAATACATTTAAAATCTTGGGAAAACTTTAGAAATTCTGGTTTATATTTTTTATTTTTCTTTGTGTAAGTAGTGGAAATAGAATAAAATTTCACAAAATTTTACTCAATATGAATAAAACTCTTAATATCAGAGGTGTTTCATGAAAATGTTATTGGTTATTTAAATAAAATTTCCGTTATAAAAACATACATGAATTTTAGCAATCCACATAATATGTATGGGTCATTCCACCAAATAAATTTTATTTTTGGAGTGTGACCCGCGCCGATATTTTTTTTATTTTGTCGATTGATTTTTATAATAAAGAATAAATATTTTCATTGAATTTTTTTACAAAAAACTAGTTTGTGATAAATAATGAATTTTTACGGCCTAGGCTAAAAATAACATAACCCGATTGGCCTTAATCATTTTTAAGTGGCTAGGCCATAGACTGATTAAAGACAAAAAGTCATTTTTTTATTTTAAGAATTGAGCAGATTTAGTATTAGCACCCAATGATATAAAGATGTCTTTTTTATACTATGCCCCATTAGATTTAATATTCAATGAATTTAAGCAAATAATTTGATAAGAAAATAGAAATGGGAATAATAGCACACCCTGTATGATATGTCGCATGATTTTTTTCTTAGTTTGCAGTTTTTTTTGGAGTAACACATTTGTTTATGTTGGTACATGCAGCATGCTAATATTCTTTAATAATTATTTTAATATTAAAATATGTTAAAATAGTCTAATAAAAAAAGTTAAAGCATTTTCATATTTTCCTAATTTCTGAGCATAATTTTAAAATGCATGAAAAAAAATGTATAGATGGACAAAGTTAAAAATCTAACTTCACTATTTTATTAAAAGAAGTAAAATTATAATAATGTCGAGAATAATGTATACCTAAAATTGTTAAAGGTAAATCTCAACTCTCAGTCCCTTGCATTTTATAAATTTTTAGTTAGGTAAACCACATAGTTATTGGACACTTAAGAAATATTATTTATTTAAAATTTAATTATGCTGTTGTTTTAAAGATTTTAGATTTTTTCTTATAAATATATAAAAAGGATAGTTTGTTTAAACTTTATTTGCGTTTACTTAAAAATAAGAATATTTGAATTTATAATAATAGTTTTATAAAAACATGCAAAAAAGTATAGTAATTGGACATACAATTTTTATATAAACATAACAACTTTACATCAAATAACATAAATTGTTAAATATTTTTTAAAGAGGAGTTGCTGTTTTAGGTAATTTTTTATTTCGTTTTTGTAAATATCATATAATTCATATATTTCTTTCTCGGATTCCTCATCCCTTTTCTGGATTCTGAAGATAACTACTAATTCCTTGGTCTGACTTCTGAAATAGTTTGTTGCAAATATCATTAAGTGTGTTTAGGCCGGAACAGGATGATTTATATATATCTAATATTTTTTCGGGTGATATGTTAAAAGCATTTTCCGAATTTATTAATTTTGTTGCCATTAGTTTTTTATGTTTTCTATCATGCACTGAATTTAAATCACTGTTATTCTGCAAATGAATTAGTCAAAAATGTCATAGCGAAAAAGCAGCAACTAATAATTCTCGTCAACAGCAATTTGTATCCAGGACGTTTAGCAGTCAATTCCTATGAAATATTATTCGCTGAATCCGAAAATGTCGTCAAAAGTTATAAAAGTAGAACAGTTTTTGAAATATAATCAATTTTACATATAATATGGAATTGACTTAACTTTTATAGTTTTTGACGGTTTTTCGGATTCAGGGGACAATTAATTGTAAAATTTTACGTAAGAATTGTATGGTAAATGTCCAGGATACAAATAGAGTATGCTATATGTCCAATAATAGAAATTTACATTTTTTACCAACCAGTAATTGAACACTGGCCATTTTACTGTTTGTTTTCATAATTAAAATTAAAACGCATTAAAGGGACAATGTTTAAATCATGAGGAACACATTTATAACACACACTGATCTGTACACTTTTTAGAAATATTTTTTATTGTAAAGTAACGTGCGAATATTTTTGTCCTATATTGGACCCAAAATAAAGTAGTTCTATATTATTACCGTCTGAGATAGTTACAATTGTATACAGAGTCATCTAATGATTGAACTTTAAGGTAACTATTTATAGAACTCTTGTTTTTACAGTATTAATGTTAATTGTCCAATAACTATAAAGTGTCCAAGAACTGTCTACTTTACCCTAGTTAAACTCATATTATAAAACAATTTTAACAAACCTGACTTGGAATCATTTTTTGATTGATTGGGGACAAATGCCACTAAATCAAACTTTTGAGCGTGTAATTTGCTCAAAATTTTCCCAGAATCTCTATCACCTGTTAGGTTGAACATGAGAACCTTTTTTTTTGGCGAAGATTTCGTTTTTTCTTCAAACCATTTATTACAAACGTTTATACTGTCAATGGTATGTGCTCCATCCAAAAAATAACTAAAAGAAAAAATTAAAGTTACTAAATAAAAACCGTATTTTTTTGTTGGTTACCATATATTGTTTCTACTTCTTATTTCGAATCTACCCGGCCATTTGCAATTCTCCATCGCAATTTTGGTTAGTTCTTTGGAAAATATTTTGCCATTAGAACGTTCTAAAATAATATTAAAACTAAAGTTAGTTATTTATACACAGCAAACGGAAAAATATAGAAGTGTATTGGATGACTCCACGTTTGAATACAGTTTTCTAAATCTCGCCACGGTATAGATTTGTATTCGTCAGTCGAGCGTTTCAATACTATCCACAGTATGTAGAGGTCGTAATTTGACTTTTCAACTAGTAGTAATATGAAAAATATTTTATGCTTAAAAAAACTATATACGACATGATTGTGATTTTTTTCATTTTATTAAATAATTAAGCTGTGTTGAATATTTTTCCTAAAGGAATAAATGCCAATGGGCCATTAATTCATTTGTTCGTAGATGCTACAATAACTTGCACTGGTGTGTACTTTTTGATCAACCAGATTTAAATGTTGCTGTACTCACAATTGTGGCTGTACTAACATATGCCAGTAAAGATAGTGCAGGGTCTACCAACAGACCTCATTACTAAATTATTAAAGTTTAATAGCATATCGATCGTTTTTACAATATAACCTCTGAAATTTTTAATACAAATGTAGGTACTTTATATAATACATAAATATACTTTACCTTATATTATCTGTGCTTTACATACCTGAGTTGTTACGGTAAATAAAAATCGGACAAAGGAACCAAACAAAGGAACTGTTTTCAATAAAATCATATGCAGAAATGAGATTATTCAAAATACTTGCATCCATCAAAAGATCAAAACTTCTTGCAATATTGAATTACACCCTCTTTTTATGCTCTCAGAAATATTGACTAAAACAGTATTAGAGAGACTCCAGTTTCTATAACTTGGTAGAGTAAAGAGAAGTCGAAATCGTTGCGATATTGCATTGCGCTGTTTTTTATAATTCTCGGGGACATTAACGAAAATCATTGCCAGTAAAATTCGAAAAGCTTGAGTTTCTATGTCTCTGAAGAGAATAGGAATCCGAAGTTGCTGCACCATTGGACTGAACCCTGTTTCAATAATTTCTAGAGACATAAATGACTCCACCATTAGACAGGGTCGAGTTTCTACCTCTCTGTTGAATATAGAAAATCAAAATAATGTATCTTGTAAGACACCATTGAGTTTGACTTCAACTATAGTCGTGCAGGTATAGAGGCGAAAAATATAAAAACAAAGCACGATTCAATACAGTTCTGATAAAACTTTAAGATTTAGTATTCAAACGGAGATGATATACACTTCTATATTTTTCCGTTTGCTGTGTAAGTACCTACGAGGTTTGTTCAGAAAATATCGGGAATTTTCGTTTTTTGAAACAAATATTTATTTATTCGTCTACATTAATGTTGTCGCCTTCAAAATAGTCCCCATTGGACATTATGCACATGTGCCAGCTCTTCTTCCAATACTCGAAACACTTCTAAAACTCGATCTTTGGGATAGCCTTTAGTTCTTTCAGCGATGCGCTTTTAATGTCATCTATGCTTGCAAAACGACGGCTCCTTAAGGTTCTCTTTATTTTTGGGAATAGGAAAAAGTCAGACAGAGGCATGTCTGGCGAATATGGAGGCTGGGGCATCATTACAGTATTGTTTTTGGCCAAAATGTTGTTCAAAATTTAACAATTTTAGAACAAATTTTGCTGCCACGCGTTTCATACCCAAAACATTCGAAAAAATTTCATGGGATGAGCCAATCGATGTACCAACATCATCAGCGACTTCTCTGATGGTTTATAACCATTTCTTCCACTTTTTCCATGTTTTTATCGGTTGTTAATGTGCTTGTGCGTTCGGGGCGTTCGTCATCTTCATCGTCTTCACGGCCATCTTGGAAACTCTTATATCACTTGTAAACTCTATACTCTACTTATAGCAGACTCACTATAGGCCTTTGTTAACATTTATTTCATTTTTTAAGCAAAATTGGATACAAATTCTTCGATCCATTTCTTTTAACGAACGAAAAATCGCCGAGCTGATAAAACACGTCTAACCTTAACGGCTGCCACAGATAAAGTAAACAATGAAAACAGCAAAAGTTTTTATCATACTTCGGGAGCATGTATAGCAACATAATAAAGAAAATTTTATGACAACCGGACCCTCCAAACCCGCGAAACTTAACAATTCCCGTTATTTTCTGAACACACCTCGTATATCTTAAAATAATTACTTTGCATCCAATACTCGCTAACAGCCTGCGCTAGACCGGCGTTCAAATTAAATATATATTGGGGAAATACGTCATTACCGATGGTGTCTGGCTGGCTGTTAACCACAATTAACTCGCTCTAAAATGCAAATAAAAAACCATTTAAAATAAGATTTCTGCCAGACCAATCAATTGTAATTACCTGCCTCTTATCGCTTTCTTCGCTAAGTACTTTCATGGCATCATCGCTCTGCGGTACTGTAAACGTTCTAGTCCCTTTTCTCATTATGCCGGCTTTATTTTGAGCTATTGATTCGATCGTGTCTCCCAGTATTATGGTATGGTCTATGCCGAGAGATGTTATGGCGGTTACGTCTTTTTTTCTACGATAATAAAATATTTTTTTATAACCGAATTGTAAAAATAAACAATGGGGTAGTTAAATTTTTTCTGACCTATACTTTTTATGGTTTCATTCAAGGCGTTTGGTAATATTAAACATTTCTGTGAAATCAGAATTTTAATTGAGTTTACCGTTTTCGAGATATTTACAAAAAATAAAATTTTTTATGACGTCACAAACCTTGCCATGTGACCAACATTCTAAGATTTCTATTCGTTGAAAATTACCCTGTTGTCAAGTTGTCTTGTTAATGATTTCATTCGGTTATGTCAGAAAATACCCGAAGAGGTTATGTACAAATACTGTCACTGTCAGTTGAGTGAAAGATGGTCACCAAATTCATTAAGTACCTTTCTTCCTTATTACGAGGTATCATATTACTGTTTGATATTTTAGAGTCCAAAATATGATTATAATTATAGGTACCTACTTACTTTATTTGTTTAAAAGCTCCAATGTTCAATGTAACCAACCATTCCACAAGATTCCTCTGCTTTGGAGTCCGTTATTAATAAATCACTTATCTAATATCAATTACAAATAACATAACAATAACATTGATTTTCAATAATCTAAATTTAAAAAAAACCTAACTCGATAAAAAGAAACGTCAAAAAATCAATTCTTTTTCTTCTTCTCAACTAAAATTATAGATCAAGTGGTTTTAAAACTAAAATATTATAACGTGGCGCCATATATCGTAAGAATCTTAAACTAAACACACTGGCAACCATAGAAAAAGCTGGCAACGTTGTCAATAGCCTAGTGACGTAATTAGGAGATTTTTTTTGTAAATATCTCGAAAACGGTAAACTCAATTGAAATTCCGATTTCACAGAAATGTTTAAAATTACAAAACGCCTTGAATAAAACCATAAAAAGTATAGGTCAGAAAAAATTTAACTACTCCATACTATACAGGGTTCATCACCTAAAACTTTTTTTAATTTAATTTATTATGTTATGGTTGGTAACAACCAGCGTTTCCAGATTCTGTAAAAGAAGTTGCCAGATTTTGTTTAAATTTAGCTTAATTGCAAAATGACAAAACAATGCAAATTGTTAATTTGGAGTTTTTATTAATTGTTGATTATGGTAAAGTAGACAGTTATTGGGCACTTTATAATTATTGGACAATTATCATTAATACTGTAAAAACAAGAGTTCTATGAATAGTTACCTTAAAGTCAAATCATTAGATGACGCTGTATACAATTATAACTATCTCAGTCGGTAATAATATAGAACTACTTTATTTTGGGTCCAATTAAGGACAAAACAGTTCGCACGTTACTTTTGTAGTGTTGCAAACAAGGAAAAGTTCGGTCGAAAAGTTGGAAAAGTTGTTGGAAAAGTTCGGCACCCCCTATGAAAAGTTGGAAAAGTTATTAGGTGGGAGCCAATGCACAATGAGTTGACTTCTAACCAGTGTTTCCACTACCATAAATTTTTTTGGTAGATAATTTGGTCAAAATTCGATATAAATCGCTAGATTTGAAGTGTTTTTAGTAAAACATGCTAAAAAATTGTTTTTTGGAATAACATTTTGTCAAACTTTATCAAAAATGGTGTCTGCTAACAGCATTTTCTATTATATAAAGATTCTTTTATTATAACGTATTTTAAATGTATACACAGTATGAAAAAAATACTATTTTTTTTTTAATTATGGAAATTTGCAAGTGAAAATATAAAAGTGGAAAAGAAGAAAGTTTTCTTTTCTTTTTCTTTTTAAATTTTTACTTGTAAATTTCCATAATTTTTGACAACAATAAATTTAATAATTTTTGCTTCATATTTTTTTGTAATTATTTTTTATTTTGTATGTGTTTTTTTTATGGTGTGTATAAATTTCTATTCCTTTTTACTTAAAAAATATGATTTTTTTAATTCAAACCTAGTTTATTTTTGTTGTTATTATGTTGTCTGTTCATTTTATTTTGTTTGATATTTTTTTTTTGTTATTTTGTTATGTATGTATAAATAAGAAATTAATTATTTTAATACATTGACAAGCATTATTTATGTTTTATACGTTTACATTACAAAAAACTCAACTTTTCCATCTTTTCCAACTTTTCCGAACTTTTCCGAAAAATAAAACCCAACTTTTCAAAAATTTCAACTTTTCATGAAAAGTTGCAACCCTATACTTTTGTGGTAAGATTTTTGTTTTTTTGTTAAGAGCAGGGCTGTGTTTAAATTACAATAAAAAATATTTCTAAAAAGTGTACAGATCAGTGTGTGGTATAAATGTGTTCCTCATGGTTTAAACATTGTCACTTTAATGCGTTTTAATTTTAATTCTGAAAACAACCAGTAAAATGGCCAGTGTCCAATTACTGGTTGGTAAAAAATGTAAATTTCTATTATTGGACATATGTCCAATACCATACTCTATTTGTATCCTGGACATTTACCATCCAATTCTTATGTAAAATTGTCCCCTGAATCCGAAAAGACCGTCAAAAACTATAAAAGTTAAGCAGTTTTTGAGATATAGTCAATTCCATATCATATGTAAAATTGATTATATTTCAAAAACAGTTCTACTTTTATAACTTTTGACGACATTTTCGGATTCAGCGAATAATATTTCATAGGAATTGACTGCTAAATGCCTAGATACAAATTGCTGTTGACGAGAATTATTAGTTGCTGCTTTTTCGCTATGACATTTTTAACTAATTCATTTTTAGAGAGTAAGTAATATAGTGATACCTTCGTAACAGGACATCCTGTTCCGGCCTAAAAATTATAAATGCTTCACAAACTAGAGATACCACACTTGATGATATTTGCAACAAACTATTTCAGAAGTCAAACCAAGGAATTAGTAGTTACCTTCAGAATCCAAAAAAGGGATGAGGAATCCGAGAAAGAAATATATGAATTATATGATAACAAAAACGAAATAAAAAAAATTACCTATCTTTAAAAAATATTTAACAATTTAGGTTATTTGATGTAAAGTTGTTATGTTTATATAAAAATTGTCCAATAACTATGGTCCATGTGTCCAATTACTATATAAAATGTCCAATTACTATAATTTTCTGCATGTTTTTATAAAACTATTAATAAAAATTCAAATATTCTTATTTTTAAGTAAACGTAAATAAAGTTTAAACAAACAATCTATCTTTTTATATACAGTGTGACCCATTTGTTTGCGAATCACCCCTGTAAAATCTTTATTTATTGTGCGATTTTAACCGGATTTGTTTTAAAATGTAGATCTTGATAAACTGTATTTTTGGAGCAAAAGACGCCATATTAATACAAAATACAAGGCCTAGGTATGTCATTTTTGTAATGAAGGTAAATTCAAACAAAATCTGGCAACTTTTATGACAGAATCTAGTGCATTTCTTTCAAATTTTAGGTTATGTGCTCAAATTGTAAATATCTTAACTAAGGGAAGTGCTTTTGGATTTATTTACACAAATTAAATGTTTAAAGTTTAACCTGTGAACTTGAGTTTTTAAAATAGGTACTAAATTTTCTAATCATTGCTTAAGCTAATAGCTGGATGAGTAAATAAATACAGAAGGGTATTAGCAGAGACAGTTCTTATTTATTTTTTGCAAGAAAAATCTTTAGTTGCAATTTTTTACAACAGGCAACGCGCAGCTACTTCTTGGTTGGTATCTACTCATAGAACACAAGTGTGTAACCAATGGCGTATCACGAAAAATATAAAAACTGCTTATGCATATTTTTTCTTTATCTTTGGGAAAGTATTTTAATATATAACATTAATTAGATAACAGCCTGTATATACTAAAAATAAACCCAAAAAACCCCAATTAATATCAAATACCTATCCTAAATCCAACTTAGTTGGGTAAAATTGACTAATTTATTTTCCAAACCTTGGTCCTCTGGATTATATTTTTATATTGAATTAATTAAGCAATATTTTTTGTTTTTAACCAATAATTAAAGGCTAAAGTTTTTAAGAAATATTTCCCAAGTCATTTGTTATTAAATAATTAGAAAATCATTAAAATTTTTCATAATTGTAAATAATACAAAATGGCCCTTTTTACCTTAAAATATTGGTGCAATCATATTCTCCTCCAATTCCAACTTCCACAATAGCCACATCAACTTTTTTATCCAAAAAAACATGGAAAGCCATAAGTGTCATGAATCCAAAATATAAAGGCATATCATACTCATGACTCTAAAATGCAACCACTTAAATTAAATTCTAACAGCAGAATAAAATTTACTTTATTGGCATCAAGAGCATTATAAATTTTCCAGAAATAATTAACAAAGTCTTTTTTTTCAATGGGATACCCATTGATTCGAATTCTCTCCCTAACTTCCAGTAAATGTGGCGATGAAAAAAATCCAGTCTTATATCCGTGATGTCTAAGAATACTTTCCGATAATGCGCAAGTCGTGCCTTTTCCCTTAGTTCCAGCCACATGGATTATTGACAGCTTATCCAAGTCTTCCAGTGAAACCCCCGACCTTTAATAAGAAAGCTGGTTTTTTGACTAATTTTTAATACCAATTAATTATTAATTAAAATTATAAAATTTGTGGATTTAAAATCTAAATTTAGAAAAATAAAGAATGCTCTAAAATGAATGGAATTTGTAATTAAGAAATAAATTCTATGGTGTAATACTGATAAGACATGATGCATTTGAAATAAAATCATTACTTTTGAAGAAATATTTCTGTTTGTGTAACTGAATTAAACTTGTGTTGATTATCCTTGGTTTTTTTACCATATTGCTCAATATAATGTGCATTACTCTGCAAACTATTTAATTTATCCACAGCGACCTAAAATAACATCAAAATTTCAAACTTATAAATAATATGGAATTCATAACTTTTACCTTATAATCAGTTAAAACATCCAAACACATTTTGTCAGCTATCGTAGGTCGAACTAAATTAGATAAATACCTTCCGGCTATCTGTCTGTACAGCATGAGTAATTTGTTATACAACTTTTAAATGTTATTTACAATAAAATAAATAAATACCTAATTATAGGTTATGCATGTTTCTGGATGCAACAATTTTATCAAAACTTACTTCCAGAGATACCAACATTTTTATGAGTAGGTCAAATGAGTTGTTTAACGGTCGTTTGAAAAAAAATATTTTAGAAGAGCAGTTTTTAGAAAAAAAATTAATAAGCATTATTATTGCTTTAATTAAATACTAAATATAACGTTAATCTTAAAAGAAATCAATTAACTTGTTTTTACCGACAGCCATTAAATTTTTATTAAAACGCCTTGAGTAAAAAAAAGTTATAATTCTTTAATCCTAATGCAAACCACAATATTTAAGCTAAAATACTACAATATATAATCTTTTAATTCACAAGAAATCCACTTTTATTAAAATAATGTATTCTTGGTTGCATATAATTATTTACCGCACGATACATTAGAACTACTACTACTGGCAACGCTGCAAAAGAAATAAGATTTTTAAAATTATTAAAAGGCAAGGACACCAAAAGATGGTGGTGGGGAATTAGGCTTCCAAAATAATGCGTGCGTTTAAAAGCGATTATTAATTACAAAATGCTAGCATATATTGTGGAGTGTAAAGTAAATACTATCATTTAGCTATTGTGAAACGGAAAGGACTGAAAAGTGTTTGCGTAATGTTGGTGCGTTTGTTTGGGGATAGTGAAAAACGACAGTTGTATTTATTTTAAAAGAGGAAATTTTACAAAGTTTGACAATAGATACACTTCATACTTACATAAAAATTCATTATATTTGAGCATCTTTAGAGAATTTTACAAGTCTACTTTTTATTTATATACTTTATACTATTTTATACACAAGAAAAATGAGTACAATGGAGAGCATTGATGAAAGAATTTTGAGGCAAACCAAACTTTCAGTGTCCAGAGATCTTTTTAACGTGAGGCCTAGTATATTAAATTATGATCGGTTTATACCCTCAAGGGCTCACAATAATTGGGAAACTAGTTATGCTACAATATCTGAAGGTAGTAGAGGCCCCCAGCCGGGCAAAAAGGCCAGAGAAGGTGGAGAAGCTGGTAGAGATAGTTCTGTATACAACATCATTCTTCGTAATGAAATATTGGGTGAAAATAATGAAGACATTAAAGTACAGTGTGATGATCGTCAGGCTTTAACCCCTATTAAAAGTAGGAATTTATTCAAATATGGGACTCCAGTTAAGGTAACAAAATTTTTTTTAAATTTTATTTCTTTAATATTTTTTTATTTATTTAACATTTAAAAACAAAAGTGTAAATGAAGATAACAATAATAATAATATTTTATATTGGATGGGATTACATAGAGAAAAAAAAGTATTTTACATTTCTCAGAAAATTTCTTTGACAAAATTTTGCTTGATTTCAAACCTGAGAAACATCATGTTTTGTTTATGGTTAATTTAAAGTTTTAATTTTTCTAATATTTTTTTTGATAAAAATCATTTTTATCCAGTTTTTGTTCATTTTACAAGTACTTGTTTAAATGTAAAATTCTTGTAAAAGTAGATAATTGATCATCAATGCAAAAATGTTCAATCACACATTAATTTCTTAACTTCTTAATATTCTTATAATGTGACTTGATATTAATGATTAGATTATTTCCATAGGTATTTGATTTGTGTATATATTTTTAATATTGGTTTATTAATTTTTTAACCTGGTTTAAAATTTAAAAAATCGCATTTTTTTAAATATTATGCACTTAACTATGGTTTCGCGTAAAAATCGATCAAATTTTGGACTTTTGTTTGCAAGTGATGCCAGAATTAAATATATTTTTTTAACCTTACATCTAAATGGTGGATTAAAAAAAATTCATCCATTGACCGCTGTGGTTTTCAGGCCTTAAAAATAGATAAATTTTGATATTTTTTAATAACATTTTTATTTAAAAACGTATCTATTTAAAATTAAGGTGAAATGTAGACCTTATTAATAGCAATAAATCCACGTATTATTTTTTTTAGATTTTAACATACAGGGGGCGCTGGGGACAATTTAATTTAAAATTTTACCATTTTTTAAGGGTTAAAAAGTCGAAGAAGCAACGTTGTTTTATAATTTTGAGTATATCACGTTAAATTACTGATAATTAACTATTATTTGATATATACACTTCTACATGCAAATTATGTTTCTACAAGAGACATCATTTTTAAGTTAGGCCTTCAAAGGGCATAATACTAACGTGTTTTACAAAGTAGGTATATATTCTTTTATCTAGTTTTATAAGATACTGTAAAATTACTTTTATTTATAAATTTAATTTTTTTTTCAAGTTTACTAATTTTGATCATAGTGGGTATCATATACTTTTCTCTATGGTAATCTACCATTGGAAGCATGAAAGATAATTTGAAAGTTCAGTTTAAAAGTTGCAAATGTCTTATTGTGTTTCAATTGTACTGTAAACTCAAAACATTAATTTATTAAAATGAATAAACTAAATAATAATTATAGACAGTGTCAGCAAGTTAGAAATTATAACCCACTTTAATTTTATTTTTTGCTCCACAACCAAGCTTCAAATTATTTTTTTACTCGATAAGCAAGCTTCAATTTTAATTCCAACAGAGGAAAGTAATATTTACCCAATAAATAAATTAGAATAAACACTTTATTTTTTATGTTGCTATTGGCTATTTAGATATATGTATATTTTTTATTCAGTTGTTTTTCACTTTTTTGTAATTAGTTCTTTTGCATTTTTTTATATTTAATATTAATGCTATACAGGGTGTTTCTGGAGAAACGCAAACGATATGGATTTGAAATTTTAATAGCATATACAATTTGATTTGGACTACCTATACCTAAAGTCAATAGTTTTCAAGATATTAATTTTTTTCGTTTTCGTTAAAATTTTGCTAAATGCACGTTAATTAAAAATAGCCCCTAATTTTTATTATGTTTACTGACATAGGAATTTTTGGAATATTAAAACATTGTTTAAATAATTTAATTTTTTAAAGGTTTTTTAACAAATAACTTTAGAAAAACCACTTGAAATTAGGCAAACTTCAAACAATAATAACGTTTTTATTATAAATGTAAAACCCTGTATGTTTTAACATAATCAAATAGAAAATTAAAGAATCTTTCGATTGGTATTGTAATAAATGTTTCCTAAAGTTAAAATTTCAGAGACATTTAACAATTTCTAATATTTCCAATACTATTTTGTATCAACAAACCTGTGACATTCTACATGTGGGTTAATGTGACAGTATCCATGGTTACCACTTAATCTGTCATTGTTTAAAATAATTTTAATTATTAATTAAAATATTTAATTGAAAAATTAATATCTCGAAAAATATTAGGCTTGATACTTTAGGTATAGCCATTTTATTTAGAATTTTATGTAGAATTCAGAAATGTAAAAATATATGAGGTGTCCAAAGAATTATTTTGTTCAAAATAATTTAGGAAAAAAGTCTAAATCGATTAATTTACGCTATTAAAAGTAACGGACCACGTACGTGAAACACCCTGTATATTAAACGTGATTTATGTGTTATGCTGTACTTAATAATTAATAAAATATACAACAATATTTGTATAAAAATGACAAAATGTACTAAACTAAACATTTATGAATACTGCTACTGTTAAATCAAAACTCATCCTGGCCATAGAAACATAATTTGCATAAAAAAGTTAATATATCAAATAATATTCAAATATCAATACTTTAACGTGTTATACTTATATTTATAAAACAAAGTTGCTTCTTCGATTATTTACGCTTTAAAAATTGTTAAATTTTAAATAAAATTATCACCTTAAAATCTAAACAATCTTGTTCATGGATTAATTGCCATTAGTAAGATCTACATTTCGTCCAAATTTCAAATCGATACGTTTTGAAATAAAAAAGTTATTAAAAAAATGAAATTTCTTCATTTTTAACACAGTGAAGAAAAAAATAACAATAAAAGTTATCAATGGACGAGATTTTTTTTGAAAAGTACTGTATTTAAATGTAGAAATAATGTAAAAAAGTTTCAATCGATTTCTTGAACCCTTGCAAATCGACTGTTCGGTCCTTTTTGTGGTACATTATATAATTCCTGTAAACAGTATAGATATTTTTGTTTTGAAGTGCAAAATATAGCAAATGATAAAATATTGGTTTGTTATCAATATTTTTAAGTAAAATCTTATCACTCATTGGTTGATTATTCCACAAAATAACAAACATAAATCCTTTGTAGATACTAATTCAATTTTCGTTTTATAATTATCGATAATTGATAATGATATATCAATAATTATCACCAGACGTCAATTAGTTTATGTATAATTTTATGATAGCAAGGCTCCTCTTTGGAATATTAATACTACCTTAAGCATACATAATTACCCATAATACAATAATTTAGAAATATACAGTGTCTTTATGCATGAGTATGTTTATTCCAAATTGTAAGATTTTATGGAAAAAATTGTGATACAGTAAATTGGTGGTGGAATATTTTACCTTTGTCATGATTATTAAAATATTTTCCCAACGTATGCACAAGTGATTGTTACGATTTATTGGGCCAACAAATGTTTGTAACATCCCGCAATTAGTTATTCATTATCAATTATTACTAACGAACTAATTAGTAATTAGTAATTACGGGATGTTACAAACATTTGTTGACCCAATAAATAAAGGGTTGAATTTAACTTAATAATGATAAAAGTGGGAGTTGTATTACATTGATATGCCTGTATGTAAAGGATCAATGCATCAATTAATATACAGGATGTTAATTTCGGTAACCAAATACGACTTATCGTTTGGAATTTGAAAACGACTGGCACCGTACGTATTAGTAATATAATGTATTTAACACGTGATGAATGTTTAATATTAAAAATAAATGTGTGTTGGGTGTCGCAAAGATGATGCCAATGCGAAAATTAAACCTAAATAGTTTTGCAATCAAATTAAGCTTAATTGGCGTAAATATAATTTATACAAAAATTAATAAGCTGAATAGGAATAATAATTCTGACATTGGTTTGGTTTTGTTCATCTTGACGTTCTAGATTGCAGCGAAATTCGCCAAAATTATTGGGGCTTAAAGAATTTTAATAAAACATAATCATCTATGGTTTACAGTCAAATATGATTATTAAACAGTTCATTGTTACAGTTTTTTAAATAATTCTTATATCAGTTAGTATGCATTTTACGAAAAAATGTTTAAAATAAAAATTAAATGATTCGAGGGGGGAAATCAATCACTACTTAAATTGGTCCTCATACTCTCCTCCTTATAGGGGGACAGGGGGTAAGTTTAAAATTTCCAATCGACTAAAAATAGGTAGATTTTGTCTAAAATATTTTTTTACATTTGTATTACATAGATGGCGCTGTAATGAAAAAAAATCAATTTTGTTCGATTTTTCTTCTGTATACGATTCTGCAATAATTTTTCTATAAAAATATCACTTTTTTTTGGTAATAATTATCTTATTAAATTAAATCTAATTTTTTTTAACCACGATTTTTTAACTAATATTTAAGTTTCCTTTGGTTTATATATGTATACATTATTTCATTCGGTGAAAATTATCAATTGCGCACCATGGTCACTTTTTACCTGCCAGCATTAAATCCTTTAATTTAAAGGATTATTGTACTATTTTTAATAAAAATACCTCATTTAAGGTAGTAAAAAAAACAATATTTTGTCAATTAATTAATTTAATCCTAATTTAGGTATAAAAAACTATTTATAGTTTATAAACTATATATGCTATAGCATTATTTAATCAATTTAGTTCGAAGATTAATTTGCAAACAAAAAGACTTCCTTTCGTTAAGCACTTATTCATAATGGATTTTTTAACAGTGGAAGAAAAATTAGAAATGATTTTGATTTATGGAGAAGCAGGCAGGAATCTTGATGATGCTGTTAATATCTACGCTCAGCGTTTTCCGGATAAAATTCGATCACGTACTTCATTTCACCGTACAGTCAAGCAGTTTGCTACAAACGGGAGTGTTCAACCGAAAAAAAGGGTTCGTCGAGCAACAGTCACAGGTGGAAATAATGAAATTAATGTATTAGCAGCAACGGCCGCTAATCCTCATGCAAGCACACGAGAATTATCTAGAGATTTGGGAATATCCCAGAGCAGAATATTAAAACGAAATGCGAATTAATAAATGCATTGA